TATAAGAAATTTTATTATTTTCTTCAGTTTTAAAAATAGTTATTTCTCATACTAATTTTTTTTAAGTGTTCCTTCGAGTTGGTATATTTTTTTAAATTACAACACACATAATATTTATGATAAATTTAGAAGTTAAAATTAAGTAAGAGATTGTGTCTTATTAAAAAGTTGTTGATACTTGTATTAATATTTTGTTCTCTCTTAATACTACATAAATTGTATTATCTTATATATAAGGGGTTATATATGTCACTTAAATGAATAAATAAAAGATGTTAATGTTTACTTAAAAATTAAAAGAGAGATTTATGTCATTTAAAAAATTTTCGAGATATGAATAAAATTTTCTCTTATTTTATTTATGAACTTGATCATTTGACTGACTTGATCCAAATATACTGCGATTAGTTTAGTTTGTGTTGTTCAAAATATTTTAAAAACTCAATTAACTAAAACCAAATTAACATTATATAAACTTGAATATAAATATCTCCCAAATTCAATCTAGTTTTTTTTTTTCCACTAACATAGTCTACTTTGTTCCAAAGATCACAAATCCAACCTATCTATGTTACCCTTACTAATTATGCAAGTTTACACCAAATGGTTTATACATAAAGACAACGAAAGTGGTTATAGATTAGAAAGTGACTGACGACCACTTTGTGAACAATCCGATACTATTACTACTAATATCTTTGTTAATTATTATTGTCATTAAATAAAATTATACCTTAAAGTAAATATGCAGCTAGATAAAAAGTTTAGTATGATTAATATTATCATTATTACATAACTAATTAATTGTCCTTCACACATCGACCAGATAAGGGATTTTGAATAAGAGCATGTACTCATTCATGTGAGGGCAGCAAGATTATATAAATGGGTAGCTAGAGAGTAGAGATTGTGTGATATAATAATAAGGAAATTCTCGGGGAGGGACAAGAAACGTTTAGTGTGATTAAACTCGATCTGAATTAAAAATTAAAAATTAGTCCTGTAATCAGTCCAAAAAAATTAAAATTTGTGGAATACTTCAAAAGTTCTACCGAGGAACAAGGAGTTCTAATCATCATGCATGGTTAAAAAAAATTAATAATAAAATTATTGAACCTAATTATTCTTAATTAATTTGGACAGTACTTTTTTAAACATTGTATATGTCTTATGTGGTAAATTTTTTTAATAAAGATAAAAAAAAATCGTAAAAATAGTTACAATAGAAATTGAACCTAAGTCTCATGTTATCTTCTATAGAAGATAATTATGTTTGAAAGAAAAAAGTTATTAAATGATAAATTTTTAATTAATTATTTAACTTAAATTTATATTCAAACTAAAATCCAAAATTACTTATTAAACTCAAAATAATATAAATTATGAACTTGAAATATATTTCACATGCTCTCCATAAGTCAAATAATTAATGAGTGAAAAGAAAGAGAGACTAAAAAAATATTTAAAATTTAGATTTTTTTTTCTGAATTAAATAAGATTTCATTAGTTGTAAAGTCTGTTTTAAGATATACAGGTTAATTTGGTACTCTTAAATTTAATTTTTGTCTATATTAAAATAATATTTGATTAACAAAAGTCACATATTGCAAATACAAATTAATTATTAATTATTAGTTTTGAAATAATGTATTGACCATGTACATGAAAAAAATCATTAAACTACATGATCAAATGGAAATGATGATAAATATTATTTAGTTCTTTATGGTTTGATTTTTTTTCAAATTGTGTGTTTATCTCGAGTTGTCTTATAGTTAAGATGAAAAACATGCAATATATATATATAAATATAACCAATGATAAAGTAATAATATGTAACTATTTTTAATTATAAAACTTTAATAAAAACAATATTATTTTACGTAGTTTATGATAAATAATTTACAATAAAGTATCAATTAATAAAATTTGTTATTTCTTAATATATATTTTATATATTGAAACTAATTTTCAAATTTAAATAAATCTATCTAACAATAATAACATAGTACTCATGTGATTTAGGGCGTTAAAATTTTTTTCTTAAAAATTGTTTTTAATAAAAAATAAATTTCTATTTTTAGTGTGTTTGTCGAAAATGCTTATTTTAAAAATAAATAATTTTATGTTTTTTACGAAGAAAATTCTATCTTTTTTGTTTTAAAATAAGAAGCAATTTTTTTATAATTGGTTTTTCAAATTTAAACAAATTGATCTTTATATTATGATTGTAATTAAAGAAAAACACGTCGACCAAATTAAACCATTTATATCAATTAATACACCAATTGACCGAAAGTCGACGTTAGACATGAAGTACTGATTTTTTTTTTTTTTTTTTTTTGAGGGAAACTGATTTTTTTTTTGTTACACGTATATGAACCAACTCTGTATAAAAGTGTAGTCTCATTATAAAGAGAGAGAAAAATTACACCAATTGACTTTTTGTGCCATTTAATGTTATTTTTAATTCGATAATTTATTTTTATTTAATTTCTATAGTGGTTTCTTACTTTATTAAAGTTAAAAAAAAAACAGTGAAAGAATAAAAAAAACAAAATTGGATTGTACTACAGTTTCCCTGGAAAATAAAATAAATTAAAAGGCAACCAAAAAGAAGAGAATGTTCTAATAACAGGAACACAGTTTAGGAATATGAAATTCAATGATGTCATACTGACACTGAGCCAACCCCTTCAGTGCTTCAGTGTTCCAAACAACCAATTCTATCTAAATTGACTAGAACAGTAACATGACTGGTGAAATGTGAAATGTGAAATGTGAAAAATTAATACTAAAGATGACGTCTAGAACAGGTAATTCCACTTTTGTCATCAGAAAAGAGGTTTCCCCCGTATAAAAGACAGTATAAGCTTTAAAGGCCATGATTTTGTGATAATAAACCAATTTTGCATGGGTCCACCAACTTTGGTACGTACCAAAAATATCCTCACTTGTGACTCAAAACAAAACATGAAATTGAAAATACAATGGCCATCGCGGTCCATTTTTTTATTATCTTTTCTCCACTTTTGATTTTGAGATTAAGGATAACTACACAGATGCGGACAGAGCGACACCTAATCTCTCACGTAATGATCAATTATGCTATGATGATGATACAAAGAGATGCCACTTATGATCTAAGAGCCCACCAGTTAGGAATTAAAATTGCCCTTAATTAATCCAACCGTTCATTGAGTATGAAATGACATAACGCCAACAAATAATATATATATATATATATATATATATATATATGAATTAAAATTAAATCAGTACAAAAGTAGCTTTAATAATTAGCATAAAATGAAAAAGGGTTAAAAACAAAACTTGATAGTAGTATAGTATGACATTTACGTAACAGTTAGTTACCAATGTCCTATATATGTCTTGATTGGACGTAACTATGGTACTCTAAACATAATTAAATATAACTTGTGTCATATCAAATTTTTATCGAGAAGAAATTAACATTAACATCTATATTCTTGGGTAGTTTAAGAATATATATATATATGGCGATTATTGATTAAGGCAAAGGTGTAAGGATTTATAGCAGTGAATCAAAATGGCAAAAAGAAAGAAAGAAAGAAAGAGAAAGGGAGAGATATAGAAGAATATAATGGTAAGTGCAAACAATGCAACTGTTTCTCTTTTTCACTTGGACCCATTTCTTTAATATGCGAAAGAATTATAAGTACTAATTAAGTAGTTCACAGCTCAACCCATCCACCCCCTATATTTCAAAGCTCTATTCACCACATTTTTTTTTTTTTTTTTTTTTTTGAGGGAAACTGATTTTTTTTTTGTTACACGTATATGAACCAACTCTGTATAAAAGTGTAGTCTCATTATAAAGAGAGAGAAAAATTACACCAATTGACTTTTTGTGCCATTTAATGTTATTTTTAATTCGATAATTTATTTTTATTTAATTTCTATAGTGGTTTCTTACTTTATTAAAGTTAAAAAAAAAACAGTGAAAGAATAAAAAAAACAAAATTGGATTGTACTACAGTTTCCCTGGAAAATAAAATAAATTAAAAGGCAACCAAAAAGAAGAGAATGTTCTAATAACAGGAACACAGTTTAGGAATATGAAATTCAATGATGTCATACTGACACTGAGCCAACCCCTTCAGTGCTTCAGTGTTCCAAACAACCAATTCTATCTAAATTGACTAGAACAGTAACATGACTGGTGAAATGTGAAATGTGAAATGTGAAAAATTAATACTAAAGATGACGTCTAGAACAGGTAATTCCACTTTTGTCATCAGAAAAGAGGTTTCCCCCGTATAAAAGACAGTATAAGCTTTAAAGGCCATGATTTTGTGATAATAAACCAATTTTGCATGGGTCCACCAACTTTGGTACGTACCAAAAATATCCTCACTTGTGACTCAAAACAAAACATGAAATTGAAAATACAATGGCCATCGCGGTCCATTTTTTTATTATCTTTTCTCCACTTTTGATTTTGAGATTAAGGATAACTACACAGATGCGGACAGAGCGACACCTAATCTCTCACGTAATGATCAATTATGCTATGATGATGATACAAAGAGATGCCACTTATGATCTAAGAGCCCACCAGTTAGGAATTAAAATTGCCCTTAATTAATCCAACCGTTCATTGAGTATGAAATGACATAACGCCAACAAATAATATATATATATATATATATATATATATATATGAATTAAAATTAAATCAGTACAAAAGTAGCTTTAATAATTAGCATAAAATGAAAAAGGGTTAAAAACAAAACTTGATAGTAGTATAGTATGACATTTACGTAACAGTTAGTTACCAATGTCCTATATATGTCTTGATTGGACGTAACTATGGTACTCTAAACATAATTAAATATAACTTGTGTCATATCAAATTTTTATCGAGAAGAAATTAACATTAACATCTATATTCTTGGGTAGTTTAAGAATATATATATATATGGCGATTATTGATTAAGGCAAAGGTGTAAGGATTTATAGCAGTGAATCAAAATGGCAAAAAGAAAGAAAGAAAGAAAGAGAAAGGGAGAGATATAGAAGAATATAATGGTAAGTGCAAACAATGCAACTGTTTCTCTTTTTCACTTGGACCCATTTCTTTAATATGCGAAAGAATTATAAGTACTAATTAAGTAGTTCACAGCTCAACCCATCCACCCCCTATATTTCAAAGCTCTATTCACCACATTTTTCCTTCACAATAATTTCTCTCCTCTTTCTCATATCCCCAATGGACATGGAACAATCTAACCCTCTAGAAAGTGAAGTGCAACCAACTACCTCATCATCATCCTCTATCACCATTACTTGCTCCAATGAAGAAGCCACTAAGGAAAAGAAGAAGAAAAAGAAGAGAGGGAATAATGAAGGGAAACACCCTACGTATAGAGGAGTGCGCATGCGTCAATGGGGCAAATGGGTATCCGAAATCAGAGAGCCAAGGAAGAAATCAAGAATTTGGCTTGGAACTTTTCCCACGCCGGATATGGCGGCTCGAGCCCACGACGTCGCGGCTCTCACCATCAAAGGCAGCTCGGCTTACCTCAATTTCCCCGAATTAGCCGCCGAGCTGCCCCGCCCCGCCACCACCTCCCCTAAGGACATCCAA